CATTTGTTGTTGAGCGACGGCTATTAGTCGGTTATAAGCCTGCTATTAGCCGTTTTGGTATTAAAAGTGGTTATAAGCCGGCTATAAGCCGGTTATAAGATATTAACTCAACTACATCGTACTGAACGATAGTCAGGAGCCGGCTATAAGAAATTCAGTGAAAACGGCTATTAGCCGGTTATAAGCCGGCTATTAGCCGTTTAGGTATCGAAAGTGGTTATAAATATAAGCCGGCTATAAGCCGGTTATAAGATATTAACTCAGTTCAGTACGATGAAGTTAAGTTAATATCTTATAACCGGCTTATAGCCGGCTTATAGCCGGCTTATAACCACTTTCGATACCTAAACGGCTAATAGCCGGCTTATAACCGGCTAATAGCCGTTTTCACTGAATTTCTTATAGCCGATACCTAAACGGCTAATAGCCGGCTTATAACCGGCTAATAGCCGTCGCTCAACAACAAATGTAAGCGGCTACTAACCGGCTATAAGCCGGCTTATAGCCGGCTATAAAAATTGTAGCCGGCTATAAACCGGTTTATAGCCGGCTTATAAATCAAGAGGCTTGCATATAATGAACATATTGACACGGGTGCAGAGTTGAGTCTGTACGGAACCTAGTAGTTTCAGATCCTTGTTTAACTTGCCGTACAGCAAGGTCATCCACTACTTTAGCCCGGCGAGGCACATAACTCCCTCTACAACTTATAGCCGGTCGGTGATCTACCAATTTCCCTTAAGCTTAAATAAGCACTTTCTAATTCCTGGCACTCTCCCTTATAAGCGCTTTCTAATTTCGGGTACTCCCCCGTTCCGACCAGGTTAGGGGCAGCATTGAAAAAGCGCTTATAAGCGCTTTTAAATTCCGGGCACTACCCCGTTCCGACCAGGTTAGGGGCAGCATCGAAAAAGCGCTTATAAGCGCTTTTTAATTCCTGCTCACCTGGCCATGGATGATAGGAAAAGCGGTAAAAGCGGTAAAATAGCGATGAATTAGCCGTAATAAGCGATTTCTAGAAAAGCGATTATAATCGATTATAAGCGGTTATAAGATGTAATATAGCGTTTTCCTGACTCAATTTTAAAAGCGCTTATAAGCGCTTTATTTGCGCTTTACAAACAGCTAAATTGCACCCCACTTATAAGCGCTTATAATCGCTTATAAATGGTTCAAAAAAGCGCCTACGAATCGCTTATCCGGCCAACCGCTTATCCACCCGTTTTTGGCGCCAATCCTACTGGAAAACCGCTTTCAAATCGCTCAGCGACGCTAGTAAGCGCTTAAAAGCGCTTATAAGCGCTTTTAAATTCAAAAAAGCGCTTTTTTGAATTATGACATCAATTATAGTCGATTATAAGCGATTTTTTTTGAACCGTTTATAATCGTAAAAAAAGCGATTGTAAACGGTTTTTTTTTAAAAAAGCGCCGAAAAAGCGCTCAATAAGCGATTATCGGCGATGATCATAAAATATCGTTTATGGAAACTTGCCACTAAAACAAGGCGCATGAACAAACGTTAAAAGGTGAAACTATAACTGCTTAACTGTAGTTTCCTTGCTGTGATCCAGTTTCTAACTTTAGATCTTGTAATCTTAAAGTCGGGGTATTTGCTAGCTAGAATAAGTTAGAATAAACGCTTACTGACTTACTGACAATTATATGTTAACCTTGAGAATAAACAATAGGTACTGAACTAAAATTACCTGTAGATATTTGTCCTGGAATTGTGGTCGCATAACAGAAACCAGGAATTGTCACCTTTTTAACTTTCAATTATACAAAAATTGTGTTACAGGTAACCAGATAAATATTCTTTAGCTAGAAGTTATATATAATATGTTTTCATAATTTATTATTTTGTCAATTCTTATCTATAATTTCAAAGCGGATCGTAACTTTCAATATTTATCATTAAGCCGTTGAGCAATATTTAGGAATCCTGCAAGGTACAATGATTGATATTAAAGAAGATTAAACAAAAAATGTTGATATATTAATATCACCAGTCTACACAACAGGACGTCCCCATTATATTGACTTTTTGTATGATCCCGTAGTTTTTATTGATAATATGACCGTGCAATTACTGGGTCGCTATAAGGCACAATATACGGTATACGGATCTTTGTAATTTGTACTTTATGCACTAAGTAGTGGACTAGATCAGAACAGTACCCGCGCTCCTGTGAGCGACTACTTTACTGACTATGACAAAGATTATAACCGAGCTTGAAATTGTAGCTACCTGCAGCATAGTGGCTATCTGCACTCTGAAAGATGGTATCTTTCGATCTTTGTAGATTTATATCATTTAAGGCTAGGAATTGGCCTATAATTCATTTTATTTGGTATGCCCGGCGACGGTATTGTTAGATTGCAGTAATTCATGTCTCACCTTTTGTCCTCAATGCCGTATTACCGAGAGACCCAAATTGTTCGATAAATCACGTGAAAGTACGGTAAAGCCTCTGTTTACTCTCCAAAGCAGTAAAACACTCTGTCTAGGATAAAACGGACAATCACAAATCATTATATTCCCTCTCTTATTGCGCTGCTAAATATACTTATTGTTATGTTTTTACATGTATGTTATGTTGAATCTAATTTATTCATTGTTAATTGCATCAAGATGCACTTAAATTTCCTCACGATAAACCTCACTGAACCTGTAAATTGTAAGACTTGCTCTGACAAGATGTACACTATAGTACTTTACACGGGGTGTAATCATTCAGTGTATTATTATGCTCCACTTTTCAGACTCACTCAACTGTAATAATCACACTGTCGACTCTGCGGGGGTCCGTCATGTTCAGAATATTCTATATGTGATGTAGGTTCTTAGTGAGGTGTCACGTGGTTTGTTCTTGTCACGTGGTTTGTTCTTGTCACGTGGTTTGTTCTTGTCACGTGGTTTGTTCTTGTCACGTGGTTTGTTCTTGTCACGTGGTTTGTTCTTGTCACGTGGTTTGTTCTTGTCACGTGGTTTGTTCTTGTCACGTGGTTTGTTCTTGTCACGTGGTTTGTTCTTGTCACGTGGTTTGTTCTTGTCACGTGGTTTGTTCTTGTCACGTGGTTTGTTCTTGTCACGTGGTTTGTTCTTGTCACGTGGTTTGTTCTTGTCACGTGGTTTGTTCTTGTCAAGTGGTTTGTTCTTGTCACGTGGTTTGTTCTTGTCACGTGGTCTGTTCTTGTCACGTGGTTTGTTCTTGTCACGTGGTTTGTTCTTGTCACGTGGTTTGTTCTTGTCACGTGGTTTGTTCTTGTCACGTGGTTTGTTCTTGTCACGTGGTTTGTTCTTGTCACGTGGTCTGTTCTTGTCACGTGGTTTGTTCTTGTCACGTGGTTTGTTCTTGTCACGTGGTTTGTTCTTGTCACGTGGTTTGTTCTTGTCAAGTGGTTTGTTCTTGTCACGTGGTTTGTTCTTGTCACGTGGTTTGTTCTTGTCAAGTGGTCTGTTCTTGTCACGTGGTCTGTTCTTGTCACGTGGTTTGTTCTTGTCACGTGGTCTGTTCTTGTCACGTGGTCTGTTCTTGTCACGTGGTTTGTTCTTGTCACGTGGTTTGTTCTTGTCACGTGGTTTGTTCTTGTCACGTGGTTTGTTCTTGTCACGTGGTTTGTTCTTGTCACGTGGTTTGTTCTTGTCACGTGGTTTGTTCTTGTCACGTGGTTTGTTCTTGTCACGTGGTTTGTTCTTGTCACGTGGTCTGTTCTTGTCACGTGGTTATTAGAATTAGAATTATTCCGGTGGTCTGTTCTAGTCGTCCATTCAACAACCTTTTTACCCAAAAATCTGAATGACACCAAACACCAATAATATCGACAACATAGCAAGTTCTCAAGATAAGTAGCAAAGTATACCAATGTTATTCTTGTCGCTATTATTTCTGTGTCTGCTAGTGCCACTGCCAGCGATGCTTTTTCTGCCTCTCTCGTCTTAGCATCCGCATGTTTACCACCACAAACACGTGTACACTCCGCAATAGTTCACATCTAAAGAATTTTCTTGGCATCTAATACTACATTATTAAACACAGGCCTTTATCGACCTATCCTGCATGTCAAATTATCAGTCCTCAATTTTTTAAATTTGGCGCACGTGTTTCGTTTATGTCCCATTCAGGTCGCTTTCCAGTAAATCTTAGCTTTTTAAATTTATTTTCATTTTTAATAAAAGATCACGTTGGCCTCGCGAGTTATTTACTGAGGATAATAGATTATGAGATTTAGTGTACACTTGCACTTAACCATCACACATGCGTCATAAATGCGGTTTAAGTTCACCTGTCGGCTGTCCAAATGAAATGACCAGTTATGGTAAAGTTTTGAGGAACAGAGTTAAATACTGCTTCTATAATCTATATTTATAGACTTACTCCTGCCAACATCTATGAAGCTTCTAATTCCAGTTCATTAGTTAACCCTTAGCAAAGTCAGCAAAAATTCTGCTCACACGAAAACAGAGTGTCCAGTTTTATCTGGTTAAGTGCGAGATTTTGAGGGCACATATTCTGTATTATAACATGACTGACTACAATTCGAACCATACATTTGTAAGCTCCGTAAGATATAATATCTTTATTGTGTAATATGTAACAACTATGGTACTGTTTTAATGGATATATGGCTAAAAAGTCACGATAATATCACCCAGATAAGTATTAATTAATAATTAATTAATAATTAATTAATTAAACTGAATACTTTACAAGTTTATATGAGATGAGCAAACTTATCAAACTCAAGAATTGATTGCTACAATGTTACATTCGCATAGACATAATATGAAGATACCTATACTCATACTGATTGAAAGGCTTACCACTGAAAGCGTTAACACATATCATCACTTATGGAGTGCACGAACATTTTGAATTAGAAGATTAGAATCTTTTTCTTACACCAAACCATGCAGATCAAACGAAAGTTTTCATGATGTTCTTACTATGTTAATTGAACGGTGATGATATCTTCCTTTCTAACCAAGATAATATCAGGTTAGAAAGCAGACTCGCGGGACAAAAGACACAAGCGATCGAAGAACTTATAGGAATTGTAAAAGACTCTGGAAAACTCCATTTTAACAACAAACTCTCTCTTTTCTCTTCTTTTAAGGTAATTTTAATTACAGTTTACTTGATTATTGATACATTGCACCCAAGCCATTAGCCAGATGAGAGCGGGAGTTGAATTCTAGTCCGGACCGTTTTTGTGTCCTGATTGGTTCACCTATTTGCCACGGACGTTATGATTGGTTCAATATTCTATCACGTGACTGCCCTGAGGGCCCTTAATCATCGTGATAACAGGGTAACATTTTGTAGTAAACCAATAACCATCGAGCACGATAAGAAAATAACAGATTGCGAGTGGCAATATGCAGCCAATCAGCATGGGGTGAGATAACCACGTGACCCCTTGTCAGCCAATAAGCGTTGGGCGAGATGATTTGTTTCACACGATGATGTTTATCTTACCTTATCTTGCTGAAATATGGATAGGTCCCAACTATGATGTTGGTAGATAAGTAGATAAAGTCTTATCTTACAACAGTGGAATGGAGGGAGTTAACAAAGCTGGAAATCAATGGTTAAAACTTAAACGTAATACTCCTCGGCCCTAATACTCTAATAGAATGAGTTCCTGACCGGGTTAGTCACTTACTACTACTACTACTATGTCGGAACTAAGTCCGATCTTCGCCAGATAACCCCCTTCATATATCCCTGTCCCGCATCAGGGTTCGCAGTTCCTCTTTAGAGTTTGTCCCAACTTCCTTCAGTAACATAGACAAGTATGTCTATGTTTTTCTAGGTCTGCCTTGCTGTGCTCTACCATGCATAGGTCTCGATATAGGGAGCTGAACAAATCACCACAACCCCCAACTCTACTACTCCACTCCCCCTCAGCGTATACTACAAGATGAGGACCTACAGCTCAGGACCAAATGCACTAAGCTCATCTGCGACGTGCTGCCCAAGCTTGGGACGGATATGGACACATGCATGAGTTTTGTAATGCCCAATATACTGTCTAACATGGCAGCAAATAATCTGGTACTCAAACGAGAGTCCATCAAACTCATCCGGTGCTTTTCTGAGGTTGGTTTTGTAATTGTATTCATATCTGTCCTGTTTGGTGGCTTGTTCGTCCGTGGAATTATTGTTGTAGTACAGTGTACAAATCCCTAAATGTTAGATAATGTTTTTGTCACCTTGGATTTAATACCTATTTTATTAATTCTATGAGACCAGATCACAATTTACATTTTGATGCCATTTTTCTCTGGCCACACTACTCGAAGTTACAAGTCACCCCGCACAAAACCACCGCTTCAACATTCCGCTATTTTAGTCCCTACACAGACTACTATAGACGGGGCCATTACCATCTATCTAACATCAGATGACGTCACAAGGTTATATAATATATATCACCATGGTAACTGGGGCACTTTAATGTGCTACTGAGATCATGACACCTTCTAGTTCATTGTTAGATCGTAATAGCATGGTAGAAAATCTTGAAGTTAGTCTAAAATGAGGACATGAAATTTGATTTAACGGTCGTCACCTCGGTTCTGTGAATTTACTCGTGAAACCGTTTCATGAAATTAACGAACTATAACATTGAATGAGTGAAATGAACAGTTCGACTGGTGCTAAATGTGACTAATGAGCGAGCCAGTATAATGTTACAATTTACAACTCAAAGTCATAACTTGCTAGCAGAAAGTTTCTATAACGATCAGAGAGTTAATTAAATTTAAGTGACTTACGACATTATTGTCGTAAGTCACTTGTCGTTGGAGCTAGCATGGTACGTATTTGGTTAAGACTCAAAGAACTGTAATTTTGATTGTATATACATATTGTCCATTGTACACGATTGTATATTGAAAACTGTTGGTGATTGGTCTGCGCTCACCGCTTATCCATATCTTCATGTCTGATCTTTAAGCTGTTTGTTTTCAACGAATCTGGGGCCCGCGGTATACAACATTTAATGTAGTCATGTGTTAACATTTAGTCAGAATTTGTTTTATGAGTGTGCATTCGGTCGTTTCATTGTTTCATTGAAATTGTTAGAAAGAAGATAACCATTCAATTACACATAATTTTCCAGCACTAAACTTTATTCCCGACAGATAACGTCTGATAAGAACGCTCTTGTGCGGAGCGTGATATGGGAAGGTATTGACAGTAAGGACCCCTCTACATCTAGAGAAGTCATCCTCAGCTTAGACAAGCTCATCTTTAATATTTTACAGTGAGTGAATCATCATTATTAATTAAATATATCACATCTGCAAGTTAATTAATTGTTACTGTTAGAAGGTATTAATTTTAAAATTAAGTTTGGGTAATCGATTCAGCGTACCCTTATCATGTCATGCTCAAAATGGCTGAATTTTTTATTTATTTTTCAAAGCAAAAAACGATCAATAAAATACGCCTTTCTCTGAGCAGTAAATCAACAGTTGTATGTCCCGGGTTGATTTATTGTACTTGTAGCTTTGTAGCTCTTTCATGACGTTGCTAAGCAATATCCAATACTTCAACCACATGCAACACTAATCAAATGTTGGTAGTTGGCTTAATTTATAGCTCTGTATCATGTACATAAGACTCGAGACTAGATCCTCGGAATTTGACGATATTTAAATCACAGCTTCACGTGTAGCAGGTAGCTCGTTTCACTGGCACCTTATCTAGATTTTATGTCGTGTATGCTCTACACAACTGATTTATCGGTTCGATACAGAATATTTATGGAGCCGCAAACTCAGGACTAGTTTAACTTTAACCTGGACTCAATTAGAGACAGTCAGCTAAATTTTGATGTATCAATATTATGCCAGGGAGTGGGGACATAATAAGCTTGTAATATTTAACTTAAATGAGCTAAATAGGTCCGAGTTTGGAGTTCAATGTTTCTCTGACCTCTGTACAGATATATCAGATGGGCACTATCAGAAGATTTGTTAGGAAAATAAACGCAGAGGTTGAGAATGCGGATCTTTAAAGTAATTAGCTAATTGATTCTGATTAGCTAATTGATTCGGTGAACGGACCGAATCACTACATGACTGAATCCCTAACGGACTGAATCACTACCAATCACTATTGGTAGGGATTGAGGTATATTTTAGGACTGAATCACTACCGGACTGAATCACTACCGCTAATATCTAAACCTAACCACTTTGATGTGATCCCTACTGAACTTTGCAATAAAGGCATAATTATTCGTATTTCATTAGTTAATTATTTTATTTTTTTCTTTCTGTTAAGGTGGTAGAGGTGACCATCGTAGAGGACGTTGCGGCTGCCTTTCTTTCTGCCAGGAATTAACTCGATGGATGAGGAAGACATAGTGGTATAAGATAAACACAGGCGTTGCGGGTTTATATATTATTCCCGCTAGCTGATTGAGATACCGAGCATGTGAAGGTTCACATCACTGTATTGTCGTATAGCAGGTCATTATGGATGACTTGATCCGAACCAGTTCTCGTTAGGGCTCCTCGTTGCGTACGTAAGTCTGTGGATCACATGTCTGACAGGCCCCATAGCAAGCACTCCATGAGAGCACCGGCTCAGATCACGTCATGATATTAGACTAGTGAACTAAGATCAACTGGTAGGGATTGAGGTATATTTTAGGACTGAATCACTACCGGACTGAATCACTACCAGTAGTGATATTTGGGTGGTAGTGATTCCGTCCGGTAGGGATTCAGTCCTACAATCAATTGATTCTGATTAGCTATTAATCGATACATTACCAAATGTACTCGCAGAACGGAGGACAGCTACAACATTGTGACGGCACTGTGTAAGAGACATTTTGTGGAGGAAAACAAAAAGGTGAAGAAAGCGATCAAAGACAGCTTCATCTCCATCGCTGGAATCATATCTAGTAACAGAATGGAGGTTTGTTTTTTTCAAATGCCTGGATTCCTTAGTGGGTGTGGGTAAGGGCTAGATATATCACATATAATGGACATTCTAGTCTCAGAAATTTGAGAATCATGGATTTTATTCGGGAAGCTTCTAACTCAATGATGTTAGCATCACTGACACTACATGTATCCAAAAATAATGTCTATGGTTAACCTTACTCTTGAAAAGTTGAAACTGAATACATCTGGCCATGTTACCAGTAATGTTACCAGTAACGGTACACGCACTTCTACACGTAACACGTAACACGTGGTACTGACTCGTATTAATAAAGTAATGAAGCACAGTTAGCACGGACCATTAGCCCGTTTAGCAGCAGCCCTCAACCTCTGTCACAAAATCCTTTAAATTCCGGGCATAATATTCACCTTACATTCTGTTACCATGACTACAATCTGCGGACATTTATAGGTCCTGGTTAGATGTGTAAATAATATGTTCATGTATTTCTCGCCTGGCAACCGTAATTTTAGAGGAAAGGTCTTTATCTTAATTTATTTCTTCTAAGTATTTCTAGAATGTTCGAGATTGCTTATTCAATTGTAGATGTTATACATTTTGATTGTTTCACCCCCACAGCTTTGCAAAATATAGAGAATGACATTATTTACTTGGAAACTTATAATTATTCCCAATAAAGAGAATACAATAATAAAATCAAATATAAATTACCTTACTTAACATGTATAATCATACCTTACACACTAAAATAACTTAGTAACTCAACTTTTATTTCCAATTAATAACCTCAGCAATTATCTAATTAATTAATTAACTAATTACAGGAGCTGATAACACAACTCCCAAGCTCAGCTATCACTTCTGGACGTGAGCTGCTTCAAATACACAAACAAACTCAGAAACCCAAAGTAACCTCTTACAAATCAAACACCAAACTAGAGGTTAGTTCGATATTCTAAACCTGAAACCTTAGATACAATAGGCATTTGTGGCCTAAAATAGAGAAAAAGGCACCTTGCTTTCGGTCGAAATAAACCAGAAAATAAGAAAAGATGCAATTTTCAGTAAGCTCTAGCTCAAGTTTTATAATACCAGTCAGAAATAAACATTCAAATAAGTCCTGGTGTTCACTGTTCTCGCCATTTTCTCCGCTAAAGACATATCTCCCAGGTTGACAGTGCAATATCCCTGGAAGGTAAGCTCCTGTGGGACCTTATCCCTGACTCCACCCTCACTAAACTGCACGGGGATGATGTTGTGGACCAGCTAAAAGCTATCGCCGAACTTGAGGTTTGTTTTTGTTGCAGTTTTTGTATATTAGATATGGTTGTTGATGTGATGATTAATTTTTTAAAAGTTAGACCTTTAAAAACCTCATCATTGTTATTACTTATTTTTTAATGACCCTAAATAGTACCTTACTTTATCCTCTTCTTAGTCGGCTATCAGACGTGTCACATCACCTTCCGATTTTCTGATCTGTATCGATGAGATCTGTGAAGCTATAATCAAAGTGATCCCCATCAACAACTTCAGGTTACCTGGTACGGTTGTCACCAACCCACCTACTCACTTCTACTTTTTAACGTGTTCATCCATCCTAATTCTTTAGATTTGTTTGGAGAGGCGAATCATACACAGTTTAGGCTCTTGAAATCTTCGATATAAAAATCATCTTGAGAGAACCTCCTCAAATTATTTGTTATATAGTAGTGTTGAAAGTGTTAAAACTAATTCTTTGTGAGGATTATTTACTAACGATGACTACCACACAGGGTTTTTAAAGCCAGTACAGTTCTGGTGTCTGCCTTTGTGGAGGTGTTTAGAGAAGTACTGGGAGATTGTGTTTACCCTCTCACTAGAGCGCTTTGTCACAAGATCGGTTAGTTTGTCTTAATTGAATAATCAGTTAATTTGGTAATTAGCAAAGGCAATTATTATATACATTGGCGGCAAAATTTAGCAAAAAATGCGATCCCGCGCTTGTCTGAAATTGCTTTATTCACAAGTTGAATATTTATTGTTTACAAACAGCTTGGTGAGTTATACATATTCCGCGGTTTATGGAGTATTTTTATTTCCACTAATGAAAATGGTTGTAAAAATCGGAAAAAGTACATGGTTCAAGTATATTGTTTATTTCTTTAAATCACCTCTTGTTTCATTTATAATTTATTGTGCCTTAAAATGTCCGTACAGTGAATTATATTCAAGGAAACAATTACAATTCAGTAGAAATTGTATTAAATAGAGAGGCTCGCTTTAATCAGCTTGCTTTAATCCTTGTTAAATAAGTAAAATCATAAGCACGACAAAATGTTTTTAAGTCTAGTATTTGTGACATTCAAGTCTATTAATCGTGAAATTTATGAGAAGAATTTCACTGTTTATTTAATGCTCTGGATTATTATGTAATGTGTTCAAATTGAAAACGATATAAAAGTGTTTAACGTCTATTTAGCTATTTGGAGATCGAGTGCTGTCTACCCGGATAACGATTACTTAATGATCTTAAATAAAATATAATAGCATAATCATGTTTTTACTGGTACAAAACGACCGGAGTGTCGTCAATCAGATTAATATGAAATAACAAGAGATGTTATTAATAGATTTGAATTTTGAACACGTTTTCTCCGGAGATAATTAAGTATTTGTTCAGGAGATAACAAGATAGCGGTACGAGAGGGTACGATGAAGTGTTTGACACAGTTGATGAGAGTTTGTGGACCCCGACCTGTTCTCGATGTTGTACTTGTCAAGTGAGTAACCATTCTCTGGTTAAGAAGTGAACATCTTCCAATTATTTGTCATAATTGTTGTGTTTAATTGGTGAATATGTTGGAATTTTATTTATCCGATTGTTTCAAAGACTTATTTTTATCTCTTCATCTTAGTTTGTATCTGTTTATGTTCTGTATATCTTCCATAATTTTACTTAACTTCTTTTCTATCGCAATACATTATATCCCACAAATCTATCTGAATAGTTCTGCAATCAACTACAAAAATAACCAAATAACCAGTTAAATCCTACAAAACTAACCAAATAACCAGTTAAATCCCACAAAACTAACCAAATAACCAGTTAAATCCTACAAAACTAACCAAATAACCAGTTAAATCCTACAAAACTAACCAAATAACCAGTTTAATCCTCAGTTTACGAGACAGGAATCCAAGGGTGAGAGAGGAAGCCATAAATGTGGTGATAAAAACCATGTTAACATTTCCGATAGCTGATCTTAACGTTAATACAGTCGCTGAGTACTTAGTGTCAGCATTGGCTGATCATAGACAGCGGGTACGTGGGAATTAATTATTTAATTAGTTAATTGGTGAGGTCTGGTTTAATTATTTCTGATTGTTCTATTTCTTAAATCTTCTTTTCAGCCTGTATTTAAAATCCTCACAATGGCTAAAGATAAATAATTTGATTTCATCTTACTCGTCCGTCATTAGACTATACGATAAATTATTCAGTTTAATTACTCAAATTTCTTTGAACTAATCAATTAACTAACTAATTAACTAATTATCTAATTAAATCAGCATTAATTAACTAACTAACGTTTAGGTAGTGAACACAGCGCTAGAAGCGATCACAGTGCTGAAAGACAGGATATCTACTCGAGAGGTGGGAATCATATACCGAGCTGTAGAGAAAATAGATACTCCTGATAAAAGATACTTGAACGCTATCAAAGATAGACTCGACAAAGGTAACCACTCTGCTTAATTAGTTGATAATTAGTTAAACTTTATTATTTTGTTTATCAGTGAAAACTGTTTAAATGGAGATTTGAGGTGGCACGAGTTCTTTCCGATATGTGAAAACGATTTGTGAATTAATTTTGTCAATGCAGCATGCTGAATGCTGGTTGGTTAATGATTATTGGCCGTCTCGTGCAGCATCAAACATCCGTCACCCGGCACCCCTCTAACCAGTTTTCAGTTTTATTTGATCTTATTTACGATTGAATTTTACACCATTCTTCGAAAATGATTATTTCGTACACGTGTGGTTAATTAGATTTGAGTTTGTTGAATGGACATTATACATTATACTTCGCATAATTAGCACCATATCCAGAGTGTGCGTGACCAACACTAGGCATAAGTGCTGAAAGTATTCATCAACAAATTATAGACTATTGTCTTAGTACTGATCTGTTCCCTTCACCTACCTATGTCACCTATTCATAGGAGAACTTGAGTACACTTCAAACATAAAATTACATAAACAATAGCAAGTTTTGATGAAGATGATATCATTCTGTAGTACACCTATTGTCTTTACTGGCCTAGTTCAACATGTAAACCAGGCCCGCCGTAAAGTCTGTTTTACCCCTAAGTTTTACGTAACGTACGAATTGTTCTTTGTCAAGGCCCAAGTCACTGATCTTAGTGTAAAAGATAAACCTGGCCCGCCGTTACGTCTGTTTTACCCCTGGGTTTTACGTCACGTAGCAATAGTTCTCTGTTAAGACGCTTGTTAGTCTCTGTTGTGTCCTTGTTAGGTCACTTAATCACGTTTCAGTTAGATAACCTTGGACTGTTAAATCTGGTTTAATTTTTGCTTGTACCTTCAGTTCAACCATATTCAAACCTCTGCGATATGATACTCGAATTTTCGACATGATTATACCAGATATCTTTAAGAAAGACTCATTCCTTCAAACTATTCAGAGCTCCTAAAACTAACCCTCTCTCACTGTCCAGGTACAATGAGTACGCTGAACGACGTGGGTCTGGTTACCCACGGTGAGGGATGTTTCACTCGTAACGGTACAACTCTCACTGGTGGATCTACTTCTAGAATGAGGTTTGTTACAGTTTCAGTTTGTTATATAAAGGCCAGGATCGGGTATTTTGTTTATATACTGTTTGACCCGCTTTCTCACTAAACCACAATTTTAACCAAATATAACCTTAGTCCTTATACACGTAAACGTGTGGATCCGGCTTGGTATTTTGGCATATTTTATGGTTTATCCTATATCTGTATTATTACCTTTTCAGGAAATCTTCATAACTTTAAGATCGATTCGCCATCGATGAACAATGAATATATTTAATTTAAAGAAATACTTTCCGGTCTAATGAATAAATTGATGACGCCACTAGTTTCCTGGGTAGTCATGGCAAAGGCATGCTCTAGGAATGGGCCGGATTATTATCTCAGATTAGGTGTTGGTGTGGAATGTATTACATACCTTAATAACATGCAAGTTTTCAGTAATCAGAGTGTGAGCGTACCCACCACTTCTCAAGAAAGAATGATTTCCAAAGACGGCACCGCCTGCCCACCCACCCCTCTTTCTTTGCCGAGGAGATATTACAGCGCTGGAAGAAACAGACTTCCTTGGGAGCGACCCAGTCGACAGAATACACTCCTCGCCAATAATCAGGTTCGTGGAAGTTGGAAGTTGGAGAATGACTTTTCATATATATCTTCATATCAAATTAGGGTACACTCGTCAGGGACATGATGCCCACCAATGACCAAAGCGACCCTAGAATCTGGTGAACTTTACCGCGCGCGCGGTGAGTATTTTACGATGAAATTTTGACAACGACAGTCGTCTGTCGCTTTTTGGAAGAATTTTACCGCGCGCATATTTTGACTTCAATATTCTATCTGTAATGCAAATGTTACGGGAAATTAGAAGTTTGACGACCAATGCGTGGAGTACAACAACAAGAAGCTTAATTTCATTATCTTAACTAATCATGAACTTCTTCATAAGTCAGCATTTTCACGAAAGAATGTTTCTGAAGAAGTTCATGATTATAAAACTTTGTTTACTAAATCTAAGTTAGATTGCCAAACTAAGAGAACTTTGGATATCACGATAAACCTGCTGTGTGATAATTTGCTTTCAAAACCCACGGCCCATGATGTCACTTTCTAACTATTCGTGTAAGGTCACAAGATATCGTAATGAGTAATCCTGCCACGTGTTGCTAATATTCTAGTAATAGTTGCTCAACAATGGTGATATGTATCATGCTCTGCGAACAACAAATTAACATATCATGTCTTGACAACTGTCTTGATTTTCTTGAAGTTTTCTCTGGAGTCTGGAGCTTAATTAAGTTTGCCTTGGTTCGAGTAACTCTTATAAAATTTCATCAATGATTTGTTATAGTTTTCCATTTTTCCCATAAATTGAATTTCAGCCTTGCCCAATATTTTAGTAACGCTACGTTGTTTGTTGCCATATTTTAGAGCATTTTGATTCGTTTAATGAAGTGAAAACAATCGCACGTTAATGGAATCTTAGTTTTTTAACTTTCTGGTTGGTAAGGCAATTTTCATTTGGAATATAATTATTTTCTTACCAATTTCTTGGGTTTGCCGGTTTTTATAAAACTAACATCGCATTAAAGTGATCTATTTAATCTTCTATTCAAAGACGTAAAATATCCGGTTATAAACGTAAAGTATTTACAGTCGCATTACGTAATAGGTAACCTAAAACTTGTGCCCTCAAATTACAGAGTTACCTGGAGTAAACGAAATTGCAATAATTCCTCCGAAACGGGCCACGAACCTTTGTCATAACTTGGCTTTATGAGTTTTTGAGGGTTTTATTTGACAACCCCCCTCTTATGCAATGAGCTGTGTAGTTTACAATGGTCACCAATAAAGATACTTTGAGATCATTATTGTAACTGTTATTGTGAGCTTTATTTTTCTAATATAGAGACAGCATGTACAGTGGGGTATGTCACGTGTGTTTGTATGGTTGTATGCAGATGATCCATTTTGCATAGGAATGCCAATGTGAAAATTGCTTGATGTTTTTGATTGCTTTGTATGTTCTTACATTGCTTCTTGTTCGGAGTGTTTCACTGTCAAGCAACAATAATGTGGTTATCGCGATATTATTTTATTGCATTGTGCCATTTTATTCGTAACACTCCATTCAAGTCAGTTTCAATAGTTCGGTAAATAGTTAATTCTCTGTTTATTCAGTATATAGTTTCACTTCTTCTTTAGTCGGTTAATAGTTCAGTCAATAGATTCTCTCAGTTAAGTTAATAATTTTGCCTCAATGACTATGAAACTACTCAATTCATTACTAAATAATTTCCTGTGCTACGTTATGTATTCTTAACCTCTGAGTTGAATTGTCTTCGTGCATTTTATGTGGTTAAATAAAGTTTAGTTCGAATACTGATAGTTAATTGGATAATCGCTGTCGCGTGTCAAAAGCTTCACTGTTCATTTCAGTCAACATATTTACTCAACTTAATCAGCTCTAAAATCCAAAGTCTAAATATCAAATATTTAAAATGTCATGCCAATTATCCAATAACTAATCCTTCATACGAATAATAATTATTGAAAAAGCTGTCTTTACCACAGCAGTCTAGCACCTAATAACACGCACTGAACAGGATATAAGTCTTCATCTCAGTATACCTCCGGCGCCTCCTCGTTAAATACCAGCTACCTTGTTAACTACATCTATAGTAGTCTGTTACATGACGGGCTCTGTTTAACGGCCTGTTGCCGAGTTGTCCAGGCTAACGGTTAGTATTTATGATTCTAATGAGAGGGTAGCTGGTGAGTACCAGTCTGAGTACCAGTCTGAGTACCAGTCTGGCATGCTCACGATGGTTCGTTATTTCTATTTTTATGCTTGTCATGTGGGGTATGTAATTGTAACAGTGGTGAATTGCCAATATGCTATTGTTACTTTGTTTGGATGATGGTAGTTGACCCAAGCAGTTAGGCTGTTGAATTGGGTTTAGTTACTGGCAGTTATATTCTTCGCTTCTTGGGAGGGATCTTGTCTTGTTTCCATCAATATACTGAGGAGTGAGGACCTTGATGATTACAACCGGAACTAATGTTTAGCTGTTGTAAAGCTGTTAGTTTCCCATTACCAACTGGGAGCACAATCTCGAGTTGATAAATTTGCATTGTGGCAAAGTTAAATGCATATTTTCAAATAGTTCATTATTAGCGTGACTCATTGTAGCAAAAATTAATTTGTAGCACCTTCTTGAGGCTTAGAATGTTGACTTGAAAATGATATTTTGCCCGTGCAAATAGCACATTTGAATCAAACCTGTTTTTAAAAATAAATTTTTGCGCTTTTGTGCGCTGGGTCTAATTTTCCCCGCTCTCTTCAATCGAGCATTTTTTCAATCCTATGATAAGAAATTTAGTATCAGCGCACGAAAATATTGTTCCTACTTGCAACTTTTAGCGGGTATTACTTCGAGGACGTTTGACGGTCACATCTACTATAATTGTTCACAGCTGATGCTGTTATTAATCCTAAATACCACTTAATGATTGAGCGCTCATGGGAAACATATATAATATTTGTAAAGATATAAAAGCGTAATACGGAGCCTTAAAAGCAGTCTTAATGTCAGGAGATTTAGAGTCACGTGATAAGGTTAGATAATTGATCGCATTCCCCTCCTTTCTTTCTCTTGCACTGTCAATACCATCAGGGAAACTGTTGAAATGTCCCTAAGTTTCTGCTTTCTCTCGTACAACTGTGCATATTTTTAAGGAAAATGTTTGAGTATCTCCCTAACCTCTGTTACCTTTCTCTCTAACTGTGAATATCTATTAAGGATAATATTGATCTACAATGTTGGTCATCTTACCTGGAAGCCTGCTCAGCTTGCTCAGCCTGGCAGCCTGCTCATCTTACCTGGAAGCCTGAAAGCCTGCTCAGTCTGCTCAGCCTGAAAGCCTGCTCAGCCTGGCAGCCTGCTCATCTTACCTGGAAGCCTGCTCAGCCTGGCAGCCTGCTCATCTTACCTGGCAGCCTGAAAGCCTGCTCAGTCTGCTCAGCCTGCTCAGCCTGCTCAGCCTGCTCAGTCTGCTCAGCCTGCTCAGCCTGCTCAGCCTGACAGCCTGCTCAGCCTGACAGCCTGCTCATCTTACCTGGCAGCCTGAAAGCCTGCTCAGTCTGCTCAGCCTGCTCAGCCTGCTCAGCCTGGCAGCCTGCTCATCTTACCTGGAAGCCTGCTCAGCCTGCTCAGCCTGGCAGCCTGCTCATCTTACCTGGCAGCCTGAAAGCCTGCTCAGTCTGCTTAGCCTGCTCAGCCTGCTCAGCCTGCTCAGTCTGCTCAGCCTGCTCAGCCTGCTCAGCCTGACAGCCTGCTCAGCCTGCTCAGCCTGACAGCCTGCTCAGCCTGACAGTCTGCTCAGCCTGGCAGCCTGCTCATCTTACCTGGAAGCCTGATCAGCCTGCTCAGCCTGGCAGCCTGCTCATCTTACCTGGCAGCCTGACAGCCTGCTCAGCCTGCTCAGCCTGCTCAGCCTGACAGCCTGCTCAGTCTGCTCAGCCTGACAGCCTGCCCAGCCTGGCAGCCTGCTCATCTTACCTGGCAGCCTGCTCAGCCTGCTCAGCCTGCTCAGCCTGCTCAGCCTGCTCAGCCTGCTCAGTCTGCTCAGCCTGACTCGAACACTGCAACATATTATTCATTTAATATTTATCGGCTATCAATCATATGCAGCGTTGTGTCCTACCTTGATGACGCACCAATAATCCAGGCCGCTGATTGGCCCAAATGTTGCTCTTAAATACTGATTGGTTGTAAATCCACCACGATCGTGTTCTAAATAAAAAATCGATTTAACAGCAGCTTGCACTTTATTTTACGCTATCAATTGTCACGTGCTCCAAGTTTGGAGTCACGTGACCCTGTACTCGCCTGTTATTGGTTAGTCAACTGTTTCCTGACCTGCAGTTGGTTATTCATCGGACTAAGCTTTACCCCCTGGGTGGTAATTGCGAATGCAGTTTTAAAACGCTCTCTGGTTTTTCTTCGGCGCTTCGATCGTGTCGCTGCTTTTGTCACGTATTTTTGTGTCCTGGTGTTAGAGCTTGACGTTGTCTTGGTTTTGACATTTAGGTCGCACTTTTAACTGATTCCTGGCCAGAGTTCTGATAAACTCTTCCTGTAAGGATGCACGTATTTAAATTGAAGGCCGTCGATCGTTTTCGTTAGACTCAAGATCTAACCTGGTTTTCTAAATACACGCAAGGACTAAACCACTACAATGATGTCAGAATCTAGCATGATTTATAATAAGATAAGTGGCGCTGCATGACGATAGTAAATGGTTTATTTAGATCTTGTGTTAGATGATTGTGAAGCCAACATGACTTACCCATAACACTCTAGGTAATTTATCGAGAAAACCAAAGATCAACAAATAGAATTAGTTCAAAGGATTAAATAATTTGAAATATGTACTTATATATTATGAGTAACTAGCTTCTTTTTACTTTAAATATAGAATTATTGCTCCAACTCTAAATTAAAAGTTGAGAAGCTTGTGAGAGAGTTGCCCAACAGCCTAGTTCACCGAACATTCTCCGATGCAATTTGTTTCTTTTTGACTTTATTTCTACTTAATCTAGTGATT